TTAAAAAAGTAAAAAAAAAAAAAAAAAAAAAAAAAACATTGAAAATTCATCTGAAGTTGTTCTATCCTATTCTCTATCACATAGGTGGGCACTATGTGGAGGCTGGGGGTAGCCTGCATATTCTAAACCCAAACACACATACACTGTACATATATAGATCTACATGGGCAAATACATACATACATCATCTGTATGCCAGAAAATGTGTGCGTAATACATATAAATGTATGTCTATTATGCAAAATGCATATACACATGTTGTGTACATGTATGCAAAGAAATGTATGTGCAGGACAGGCATGGTAGCACATGCCTATAATCCAGTTCGTAAGAGTCTAAAGAAGACTGCTGCAAATTCAAAACCAACCTGGGCTACATAGGGAGTTCAAGGCCAGCCTGAACTACATAGCGAGACCCTGTCTCAAACAAAACAAAATAAACAAAAAAAGAAATGCATATACACTGGTAAACAATGCATGTTGTTGCTTTATATGTTTTAAAATTTTATATAAGTGGCATTTATTCCACATTCCTCTTTCTGCCAGATGTAATAATGTTAACTGAATGACTCCACTAGCATATACTGGATAAATCAAATTAACAAATTAATGTATCTGCTCCTCTAATGAGGCTATCCAAGGTGCTTCCAATTTTCCATCCACAAATGGTGCTGTGGTCAGCATTGTTGCACACATCTCCATGGGTGTAAGGACCAGGTGCAGCATACTAATTTGTAGGTTACCTGTACCTTCCACTTCACTATGCCTTGGCAAACTACTCTCTGAAGTGGTTTTACTAACATACACCCTCACCTACTCTTGGGATTAATAGAATTTATAACTTGTTGGCCAACAGGCATGAATAATATCACTTTTGCTATATACTGTTCCTACTACTAGTTAAATTAAACATTCGATCATTTGTTTTTAAAACTGACAGTTTGATTTGTTGATCACTTGCCTTCAAAAATGACATTTGAGAGCCGGGTGTGGTGGCACACGCCTGTAATCCCAGCACTGGGGAGGCTGAGGCAGGAGGATCACTGTGAGTTCGAGACCAGCCTGAGCTACATAGTGAGCTCCAGGTCAGTCTCAACTACATAGTGAGACCATGTCTCAAAAAAAAAAACAAATCAAAAAAATGACATCTGACTTGTGCGTATATAATGGTAAATAAAAAGTTCCTCAGCCAGGCATGGTGGCGCATGCCTGTAATCCCAGCACACGGGGGGCTGAGGCAGGAGGACTGCTGTAAATTCGAGACCAGCCTGAACTACATAGAGAGTTCCAGGTCAGTCTCAACTACATAGTTAGACCCCATCTCAAAAAACAAAAAAACAAAAAACAAAAAACAAAACAAAACAAAAAAAGGTCTTCAAATATCCCTACTAGAATTTAGCTTTGACCTTCAAAATGAATCGATAATTTTACAAATTTGCTTTAGAATGTTTTTATTAGAGCATCCAAAACTGGGCAGAATTCGTACTCAATGACAGTTGCAAAGCCATCTGTAGAAGGAAGTATGAATAAAAAGCCTCAAGAGTGCCTGTCAGCCATGCCAAGGATCTTAAAGATCATTTCATACTCAAGGACTCATTATTTCCTTGACTCATTATTAATTTTCCCTAATGAATTCAATGTTCTGAAAATTTTCCTATTAAAAATTTACTAAATAGCTTTTCATTTGTAATTGCCAAAATGATTAGCATGAGCTTGGCCATCCTACCAGCTTTCTAAAACAAAGGCAAAACAAACTCTTATGGTTAGTGGGTGCGGTCTGCCATGGATAATGGTGTGATTTCCATTAACCAAGATGAAGTTCTAAAAGCTGCTTCATAGAAATAGGATGATCCAGGGACCCCACAAGGGAAGCCACTGAGGACCAAATCCTCTCCCTTTCAGGACAAGGAGGAAGCACTCAGCAGGAAGATGATGTGGCTAAAAGCACAGGGCTAGTCCAGCCACACTGCCTCCATGGCTATGCTTCCATGTCACTGCTAGACATGACCATGCACTTGCACTTTAGCAGTTATAGCTTGTGACGAGGAGAGTTTAGACAGGATGGTGCACACTACAAAAATAAAAGATTAACGGAAAAAGAGACTTTATAAGAATGTTTTAAAATCTTGAAATCAGTCGATAGTGGCATAGCATTGAATTTTATGAATATTTTTATTTCTTTGCTGTTCTAATTGTCCAGTCATTTCCAATAGCAGGAAAAAAACCACAGATTCTTTTGTTTTCCTCCAAACTGAGAGATTTTCCTTGCCCTAACATAACAAAGTCATCTGCATTTAGAACTGACCAAATCACAGACAAGGTAGGTTTTGCTATGTTAGGATTCACTATGCTATGATTCAAATAATGAGGCCTAGGAACAGCAGGGATTACATCTGGCTGTATGCTTGCTTTGGGAAATACTGTAAAATAATTATGTAATATCTGAATGCCTCCTTTTCACCTAGTATGCTGCATCATAAACCATGGTTTTGGGACACTATGTTCAGTAGTGACAGTAGCCAAGGATTATAAACCAATGTGGGGGAAGGGGGGAATCAGGATCTATGTCCCTGTGTAGCTGCAGAGGAAAGAATGCTTCTTGGGCAGAAGCTGCAAACAGGTAGTGTCAACACAATGCACCAGCATTCTCAGTGAGTACAGTGGAGCCCCATCGCAAGCCCCTCAGCTTGAACTGAGGCACCTACAGAGAAGACAGGCAGTGTCGCAGTGAAGCTTTGGGTGACTATGTGCAGAGAATTCAAACTCTGCCAAAGAGCCACAGCACAAAGGTAATGAATAAATGAAGGGTCCTTTCCACCTAGACTCTAGCACTCAGGCCACACGTCAGTATACGTCAGCAACAGTTGGGGCTGGGGGTGACATTTCCCAAGTGCCTGCATGCTGACCCCGAGCAGTCCACCCAGGTGAACAGCAGGGCCCCAGTTCTCCCCAGTATGAAGTACCTGTGGGCGAGGTGCACCAGTCCCTTCCTCCACACACACACACTCCTACACACACACCTTGAACTGAATCACTTTCCCCACGTTCTTGAACTCAGGCAGTACGTCATGGTAGAAGTCTAGGAACTGCTGGTAGGTTTCTTCTTCACTGTATTCCAGGCTCGCATCAGGGTCATAGTCATCCCTCCTGCACTGCTCCATTCCAAATGTTGTAAACATGCTTCTAATAAGAAGAGTAGGACTCGATGTGGGGAAGTTATGTTTACGTGAACACCTGTGAACAAAAGAAAAGCAAATTCACTAGTCCAGTAGTTAAAAATCACAAATAGAAAGCTTGCTTGGAACTCTGAGATAAAGACTCAAATGACTTAGCTGCTTTGATTTAACTGTAAGCTAACAAACCTTACTCGGATGACAAGTTTCAGCACCTCAGAAAACTGTCCTAAGACTCACCAATACAATGGCTTTGTTAAAAATGTCAGATTAGGGATGTTTTCCAAGTTCATAACTTTTCAGGTGCCTCTGGATGAAGTTCAAAAAGCCTTCTCTATGTTGAGCCAAAGGAGGAAAAAGGCCCACTGATGTGACAGATCATGGTGACAGGCATGAAATGCCACATAGCACCTTGGGAGGATGGTTTTACACATTACTCAAGTGACCTATATGCTTAAAGAATGGCATGATCTAAGAACTTCTAGTTGGTGGAGTATTTCAATCTTATCTCTGTATAAGCCTTTTACAGTTTTCATGCTATTCTTACCTTTGTCCCTTCTGACCCTTACGACCTGCCAGGACAGCTAGCTGGTGCTAGGACTTTCTCTACTGCTCAAACTTAGAGAAGCACATCTGCCCAAGTCGCACAACTAGGAAAGATGGCTCCAAGAGATTTGAGTTAACCTGAAATCTGGTCCTTACTCACTGGAGAGTACAATAAATATGATTTCATGAAGGTGGCCAACCACTAGGAAGAACAATTTTCTTTTCATAATTTAAGCTAGACCAAGGAACAATAAGCTGATGTAGCTATGCCTGAGTAATGTTTTAAGCCTTTATGTGTTTGCATTGTTTCATTTACTTCATTCTGCTAAAGTGGGAAAAAATATGTAGTTCAAAGTTATAAATAAACAAAAATTCCCTGGTTCATGTTCAAGTTTAAAAATCAGTATGACAAGGGCTGGGGATATAACTCAGCAATAGAGAACTTGCCTAGCATGCACAGTCCATATGCACTAACACCAGAAATAAAAACAAAAGCAAAAGTCAGGCATAGTGGTACATGCCTCTAATCCCAGCACTCCAGAACCTGAAGTAAAAGGAGGACAAGTTCAAGCCTAGCCTGGGCAATGTGGAAACTTAGCAAGATCCTGTCTCAAAATAAAATATTTAAGAAAGGGCTGGAAATATAGCTCAGTCCAAAAGCCCCAGGTTCAACCCCTAGTACAAAAAAATTTTTTTTTCAGGAGAAAAAGAACTAAGGAAGAAAATTTAATAGGGCAAGTATCGGGAAGAAACAATGGCCCTGAAATGACTAAGTGTTTAATCATGCTCACTTTCCATGTCTGTAATACAAATCTATGCACCTACATGGAATGCCCAGCACACACCATGCCTAGCAATGTTTAACCAATGTTCATTAATGTGAAACTCTATTTTCCAAATTACTTCCTAATTATTCAATTAAGAGACCTGACAATTAGATCTATCTTTTGTAAGTATTGTTACTGACAAAACAAAGAATAGGGATTCAATCTGGTTAGCAATGCTAGCAGTGAATCCAAATTTTACAAGTGTGAAGCACATTATGCATTGAACAAGGAAGCAATGTACTGAGCCTGAAATTCTGCACACGGAATTCTTAGATCTGAATGAACTTGGCTCTAATTCCCAGGGTGTCAAGTGAACATTCATCAGTTTTAGGACAGAGCCAAAATCTCTGCCTAAGGAAAATCCCCACTTGGCCTGGAGATAGTCCTTAAAATCTGAGTGTACTCAAAAGGCCAGCTCTGCACCATTTACAGAGAACTCAGCTAAGAGAAGTTAGTAAGTGGGGAGTTTAAAGCTGTGTCACCAAGCCTGTGTGATTCTCTGAGCTACCCAGGAAAAAGTGAGGCTTCTCCAGTCCTGCCTCAGGCCATGTGATCAGTCCTCAAGGGGTGGGGGAACCATATTTTCAAAATTACTCTTCACCTGGTCCCTATGGTCAGTCATGTTGGGGAACCAGTGTTTTAGTGCATGCTGTACACCCATTACTCTGATACTCAAATCAAATTGGACCATCACAAAAACACACAGTTGAACATTACTTAGCCCAAGGATGCCAGTAAAAGAATGGTGTGGCTATCCTAATCCCCTCTCTGACACAGCCGAGTATTCCTCTTTTGGGGATTGTCCAGTACACACTGCCTTTGTCCTTCATTGAATCAATGCATTTGCAGCACCAAAGCCAGGCTGCGGTCACTTATCAAAGGTCAGCATAAGAAACAGTCTCAGGAAAATTAGGCACCAACCATTACAGAGCATCCATCCAAGTGACTGTCCATTTTGCTATTGAATGTCTTTATCCAAGATTCCATGGGAGACACATTTAAATCTGGTGCCAGGAAAATTTTTGTCTTTCCAAAGATACTACTCGTTCTTTCTCTTTGTAAGAACCATATGGCTTATTATCTGCCTGGGATGCATGACAATGAAGTCAGAAGCATTGTACATTCACAGTAACTCATTTTCTCCTCCCTACCTTGCTTTCAATTTCCTTTATTTTTTAACTTAATACAGTAGATTGTAAGCTTTCTTTAAATCACTTGTGCAATTATGTGAGACATAAATACTTGGAAAAAGAAGTTTTACATTTCCTCAGAGATTGTTTTGTTAAAGGCAAAAACAATAGAACCTGTCTCAAAGCTGACTCCCAAAAATATCAATTCTAGAAAGGTTCTAGAGTTAGATTCTATACTAATTACAAAATAACAAAAGAAATGCTTAGGTTAAAGAAATATTTCTCCAATGATCTCACCAATCTTAATAAAAAAGAACAGCTGTGTCACCTGGTGAAAGTCACTGAGACTCAGTAAAAGGGACCAAAACAGTGTACTTGTCTGAAGGGATGGTGCTGGGTTTCATGACTAGCAATGTCACAGAATTTCATGTAATGATTCATCATCTGAATGATGAAAATACCTATATCACTCTCTTACTTCAATAATTGTGATGACAAAATGTCATATGCCTATGGAAACAGTAAGGAATTGTCCCAAACTAATTCTACCACTGTTTATGTTTCCTTAAAATGACTCAGATGGGATCTGAGAATCTGACAGGCCACTCCCCTTTCCACAGGAAGTATCTGTCACCCAAGTTCTTTTTTTTTTTTTGGTACCAGGGATCAAACTCGGGTCCTTGTGCTTGTGAGGCAGACAGTGGAACCACTGAGCTAAATCCCCAGCTCTTGTTTGTCTTTTTGAGACAAGGTCTCACCAAGTAGTTCAGGCTGGCCTTGAACTCACTATGTAGCCCAGGCTAGCCTGAAACTCACAACAATCCTCCTGCCTCAGGCTCCCAAGGGCTGGGGTCAACAGATGTGCCACTGCACCTGGCATCAACCAAGCTCTTGAAACCCTTTAGGACATTTTCCCTTCTCTTACTTATGCCCAACAGAAGGAGAATTGAGAATGAGGCATCCACAAGTCTTTAATTTTAAGGAAGTATCCCACATATAAATAAGGGACCTTGCAAATGTAAAATCTGAAAGGCAATTTGGTTCAACTACTTATGTAAACTTGAATTCAAATTGAGTCTCAGTTGTCTCTGAAAGGTAATGTGCTGTATATTTTTCTTTGGTAGGGGATATTTTATACTGACTCATACTGAGATTAAATGTACATTTGGGAAATTCTTCTGAAGAATCAAGGGAATACCTTTCATTCACAGTTCCTCAAGAGGAAACTTTATACTGGTCAGCTGACCCTGTGAGTCCTTTTAGAGGTATTCTGGGCATCTACAACCCCAGTCATAAAATACAAAAGGAGTTACATGTTGTACATTAATCCCAGGGCACATTAAAAATACCTGAGGACATCAAAACTAAGATCACCCAAGTCTCTGAGATTCTGATTTACACAATGTGAGGTGGGACATAATTTTTTAAAGCTTTTTAGATGATTATAATATACATCCAGGGTTGCAAGCCATTTTTCTTAACAAATGAAAAATTATGAAAATGTTTAAATTAAAAAAGAGAAACTTCATATTTTCACAAGAAAAAAATACACAGCATGTGTAATTTTATATACCTGAGAGACGACATGCCATCTCTCATTAAATACATATGAATTTTCCTATTCATATCCATTTTTAGGATTAATAAAACATTAAGATTAGGAGTGGATCTTCTTTTCCACAGAATATATAATAACAATTAGATTTTGCCTCAGACAGATTAGGAATGATTTATCTACCCGGACTTGTTCATTCATAAATAAGCCCAATAATAAAATAACCACTACTTGTCACACAGTAGGCATCCAAATACTTCCTATGTGACAAGAGATAAACACTATTTCTACGTGAATGTCTTGCTTCAAAAACACTGATCCAAAAGAGGCGGGGAGCAAAAATGTCTCAGAGAATAATGTTAATGGTAAGCATTATGAAAATACCAGCAAATGCTCAGTGCTTGAACATGCCCAGGCCTATTAGGAAGAGAGGAAAAGAATGCCACTGCAGCCAGGACCCAGGCCTGTTTCTGAGTCTGAGCACACTCATTGGCAGTGGGCGACTTGACATCCTGCTCCTCTGCTTAATCTGATTCCGTCTTTCACAGATGTCATCCCTTTACATACACCAAATCCTATTGTGGAACATGGTGTCTGCCATTCAAACAATAAAGTCTAGCCGCACCGATCACTTCAAATATAGTATTTCCCCATTGCAGTTGCTCACTGTGGACTCATGTGAGCACAGAAAGCAAGCAACAAGCAAAAGGTCTTCCTAAGGGTAAGGACCACAAAAGATACACTCAGCGGGAACAGAGCTGGAGGGGACAGAACACAACCAGCTGAGGAGCCAGAGAAGCAGCAAGAAAGCTGCAGATGCCCGATGATGCACATTTCAAACTGAAGCCCATGCTTCTCCCAAAAGGAGAACTCAAAAACCTTATCATTTTGAATTACTTCATTCTGACACAATAAAGCAAAATTAGTTACCTATCTCCAAATCTGCAAGCTCCCGTTTTACTGTAGAATGGACAATTGGCTCGATCTTTCTCCATTACTCTTAAATCCGTGGGTGGTTCTGGGTTCTGCCACGTGGTACCATTTTCCAACTGCTGAAAATAACCATGACTTTATGGTAGTATTAAAAAAATCCATGAAAGTCTACATATTTCCAAAATATTCAAATAGTTACACCAAAAATTTTAAAATGGCTTCATTTGAGAACATTCACATTTAAGATATAACATGTCATTAAGACTTTACAAGATACTTTCTTGGTGCCCATTCACTTTCTTTGACCATGCATCAATACTGCTAGCAGGGGCAGTCACCAAGCCTTCCCTTCTGTTTATCCATCCTGAAAAGGGTCCAAAGACTTAGCGAATCACCACTGAGAGAAGCAGAAGTTACTCTGAGTCAAGATAACTGACCATTTGGGACTGACAGTATGTGCTGCTGCTGACATATACTTTAAGGACCCTAAACAAGTACAATCCACAGGGTGATTTGATATTATTTGGTTTTGTTTATCAATAAATGTTTGTCATCATATAAACCCAAGAGCCACAAAAGTGGTATCACATATCCAGACATGAACTAAATAACCTATACCCACCACAAAATTAACATTACTGAAACTACTGTTTCTAGTGAAATACTAATTGGTCTCAAGGTCTTAATGAAAGGTTTTTAAAGTACCTCATTTTCAGCCTGATTCAGCAGCTTCTGTACCGCTTCCTACAAATGGTACAAACATAAGAGCTAATGAAAGCCTGAAAGTCAGGTTAAGTCACACCTGGTTTCTCTAGTTAAGAATCTTATGTATAATAATGTAACACACACACACAAACACAAACACACACACACACACACACACACACACACACGTGCTTCTGGTTCTGAGTTTCATTCTAAGCATCTTTTGAAAAACTTCAAAGGACATATAGCTCAGAATTTTAAAATTTCAGATCACAGTGCAAAATATTTACATAATCTCATGATAGTTTAGTAACAGTAATGTTTAGTATATTTGAGCATCTTATTACACGTTACAGTTTTTAACATAAGGTATTAATGACTATTATAAAATACAATGCTAGGTGAAACATGATAAATATTTAACAGAAACTAAAATATATGTCCAGTAGTAATTAGGATGGATGAAAATTTCCAAGTTTGCAATAATGCAAAAATGTCCTGCAATGTGCCAGCAAATTTTTACCTAATTGGTATTAAAGTACTTTTAAATTATATTCCACACACTCCTCTTCCCTAGCTCCTTAAGGCAATACAGCTATTCTCATTTAATGACCTACATGTTTTAACAACTGTTGAGACTTACAATTTATTTTTTGTACAGTTGTGTACATCTTATTTATAGAGCTTCAATGTCTTTTTTGTATAGTACACCTTGTTTACATAGTACTGTAATTTTTACTGATTGTACTGTACAGTACTATAGTTTTTTGTGGTTATACATCACAGTACTGCATGGAAGAGATATGCAAATAAAAGCAAAGTCATCAAGTTGGCATTGACCATTTCTTTGTTCTGAATATCATACATACTATATGCAGTTCCTCATTTAGTGACCAATTCACTTAACGATCTGGTTACAGGACCATGACTCGGTCATTAAATGAGGAATGTTTGTATATTAGGCTTGTGTCTAGCTATTTACTAGATAATTGTACCTGGTCACATAAGCATCTGTGGTAATTTAACATGCTCAAAACAGATTTTTTAAAATTTCTTTGGTGCTTGGGGATCGAACCCAGGGCCTTACACATGAAGTATGCACTTTGCCATTGTACTATACCTCTAGTCTCAAAACAAAGCTCCTGTTCTCCTCTACCACCCACGCCAACGGCTCACTTAAATGAACTTCTCAATAAATAGTTCTAGTATCTGCCCACCTGTTCAAAAAAAAAACCTAAAAATGTGACTCAAGCTCCCTACTTTTCTTTCTCCATCCATCCAACCTACCAGCTAGAGCCCTACTAACTCTGCCTCCAACACAGTCTAAATTCTTGTAGTTATCACTTTAAAGCACTATTCCATACAAACCATTATCTATTTCCCTCTTACCAGCTTAGTCACCATTCCTCATCCCCCATTCTCTGATCTGTTGAAGGTAACAATGTGAATGGGATGAAGTCACTTCCATCTTAACATGTCAATGCTTTCGCATTACATTTACCATAAAATCCATAGTCCTCTTTCAAATTCAAGAGGACCTGCAGGATCTGAACCTTCCTACCCTCCTGAATTCTTCCTGTGCCCTACTCTCCTTTGGTCTCTCAGTTTCAAGCACTCTGGTCTTCTTTCTACTTCTAGGCAACTTCCCCCAAGATCTCTATGCTCAGGTATGGGTTCAGATACAAAAGACTCAAGTCTTGCTTACTTGATAACAACTGCATCCTGGGAGATTTCCTTGACCAGGCAATCGAAGTCTTCCTTTATCTCCATCACTCCATCACATCACTCTTCGCTTTTTTTTATGCTATTTAACATTATCTTACTATATTTTAAATGATCATTTTGTTTACTCATCATCTGACTCCCTCATCTAGAAAAGTAGTCAATGAAGAGGGACTTGCTTCTCACTGCTCTACCTCTGTCCATCAGAGATGCAGTGAGCACAAAGCAGAAACACACATTGCATATTCTCTTATACATATTCGAATCTATTTCATTTTACCAACTTCTCCTTAATGTATCACCAGACTTCCTTTGAAACAAAAGCATTTAAAAGAATCCTTAAAGCTGGGTGTGGTGATGTATGCCTGTAATCCCAGCATTTGGGAGGCTAAGGCAAGAGGATTGCCAGGAGTTTGAGACCAGCCTGGGATACATACTGAGTTCAAGGCCAGCCTGAACTACATAATGAGATCCTGCCTCAAAACTAAATAAACAAATAAAATAAAATAAGCCTGATCACTAAAACGCCTTAGTTGAATAGTATTCTATTGTTAAAAAGGAATTGGTTCCTCTCTATAAAATACGACCAGCTCCAAACAATTTTTGTGTCTCCTAAAAACCTAGAATGATGCTGCATTAGAAAGCAGTGCTGGGCGTGGTGGTGCATGCCTGTAATCCCAGCACTCGGGAGGCTGAGGCAGGAGGATCACTGTGAGTTTGAGACCAGCCTGGGCTACATAGTGAGTTCCAGGTCAGTCTCAACTACATAGTGAGACCCTGTCTCAAAAAACAAAACAAAAAAAAGCAGTGCTCAAATAAGGGTGTTAAAAATTGCATTGGACCCACCGCCTGCAACACAAAAACAAAAGCAGTAGAGGTTGCTTCTACTCTATCATGACTAGGACATAAACAAATCCATCTTTCCCCATCACAAAGTGACTGGCCAATATTATGCTTTCAAAGTTAGCAATATTCCAAAAGAGATACATCCTGATGAATCAGTTAAAGAAAGATGAGCCATGTTATCTTTGAAATACACTGTTAAGAAATAGCAGCAGGTTGATCCCCGGTACCAAAAAGAAAAAAGAAATAGCAGCAGGGCTGGGGATTTAGCTCAGTGGTGCCGCACCTGCATTCTAAGCGCAAGTTCCTGAGTTCAATCCCCAGTACCAGGAAAAAAAAAAAAAGAAAAAAAGAAAAAGAAAGAGCAGCAAAATAATCTTTTAAAAAGTAATATATATATATGTATTACAGAATTTTAAAATGAGCAACTGTGTGTTAGCTACAATTGCCTTTACAACTCATGTTAGAAAGGAACTCAATATTAATAGTAGGAACAAAAAATTTCTTAGTATTTGAATTCCTTCTTTCTTTAAATCAAGTAATTCTTGGACCAGGGATTTAGCTCAGTGGTTCTACCACCTGCCTCACAAGTGCAAGGTCCTGAGTTCAATTCCCAGTACCCCCCCCAAAAAAAATCAAGTAATTCTTGCTGATATGTCATAAACTGCTAAATCTCCTATGAACAAAATAAATGTGGAAACTATACAAAATATTATTCTCTAAAGAAGTTAACACACACACAATGAAACCACAGAATAACGCCACTTGCTACACAGCGGTAGAGGCTATAAAGGAGGGGCCAGCTGGCTGTTGTGCAGAAATGCTTTACTGGAACGCAGCCACATCCATTCATATACATATTATCTATGGTTGCTCTCAGGGTACACTGGCAGCGTGTTCACCTTGCTACTGAGACCATGCAGACATCAAAGCCTAAACCATTTACTATCTGGCCCTTCAGAGAAAAGGTTTTCTAATCCCTGATATAAAGGGACTGGGTAAAGCTGAAGAAAACCTTAATTTAAGTAATCTGCCTCTCCACAAACCCAAAGAAGGGCATCATGAGGAAACTGTAGTGTATCTTCAGACCCTTTCCAAACAGACAAAAGATACAACAACAAAAAAGAAAACCAAAGCCCGACATGCTCATAGGTTCTTCTTCCAATCCATCATACATCTCACATGCACACTAGAAGACACACTGTGTGTCTGTCCTACGACAGCAGTCACCTCTTTTTCTCTCTTCTCCTGCAGCTTCTGCTCTTCTTCCTCTTTCTCTTTTTTCTGCTGTTCTTCCCATTCTGCCTTTAACTTTCTCTTTAGAGGAAAAAAGACAAGAAGGTCATTTATTTTTAGGCTCACTTTTTAAACATATTTAACATACAGAGCAAGTAAATAAATACTTTAAAACTACTGGTAAAATGGATATCTGTTCTTTTCATACAACCCATTGAAAGTTACTGTGGTTAACTGCAGTACTTAGCTAGTGAGCTATTGGATTAATACTGTACCTCTTGTTCTTCCTGTCGTTTTCTAGCTGCCTCTTCCTTTTCCTTCTTTATCCTGAATTCTTCTTGTGCTTTCTGCTCCCTCAGCAACCACTCCTCATGTAATTTTTGCCTATTAATATAATGATATAATAAAAAAAAAGAAATGGGAATTAATCTACAAATACATACACACAGGCAATAGCAAACAAAAACAAAAATGACACGTTTTGGGATTAAAATACTATGAAAGCAGTCAAGTAGGGGTAAGAGAACCAGAAGATATGAGTAGAGCTTTTGAAAAACCAGTCAGACTTATCTCCCTACAAAGTAATATGGTGCAATTACTATGTCTACATTTTTTCTCCCAGTATAGGGGTGGGACCCAGGGCCTTCACACTGAGCTACATTCCCTGCCCCTTTTTATTTTGAGACAGAGTCTAGCGAAGTTGCCCACAATGGGCTTAGACTTGGGATCTTTCTACCTCAGCCTCCCAGAGTGCTGAGTAGCTGTGACATATGAAAGGCTAACAACAGGACTTTACCTTCAGGCTGATCACAGTGATGACGAGGTGCTAATAGATGGGTGACAAGTTTCAAAGCAACATTTAGCTTTTCACACTTTATATTCTATGTATTTTTTATTATAATTATTAATACGTATTAATTGTACAAATTAATGGGTTTCACTATGGCATTTCCTTACATGCAAATCCATGACTGCAGCAATATGAATACTGGTTATCTTTTACCATAAACCTTTGGACTACTGCCTCGTGCAACTAAGAGACTCCTTATGATTGTCTTCAAACAGCTAACTACTAGGGGGAAAAAAAACTACATTGTGAATATATCTTTAAAATAAAGAAACCTATAGATATTTTTAAAAAGATGAAAAGAAATTATAAAAATAAATTAGCAAGTATACAGTTTTTTGTTGTTGTTTTGAGACAGGGTCTTGCTCTGTAGTTCAGAATGGTCTTGAACTCAATACATAGCCCAGGCTGGCCTCAAAATCTTGGTGATCCTCCTGCCACAGACTCCTAAGTGCTGGGATTACAGTGCACCACCACACATTTTTCCCCCAGCTTAGCTTCTTTTAATGACCAATTATAAGAAGTAATGTCACCCAAACTTCAATATCACAAGTTTCTAACTTAAATAGAGGTTGTGTTTCCAAAATTTATTTACCAATCAGGTGTTTAGAATCTAGGTTTTATTTTCTCACTTGATTTGTAAAAGGGAAATGAAATATGAGAAACTATCCACTATCACTTCAGCAACATTATGAATTAAATGAGGTTGTATGTCCAGCCTGAGGACTTAACCACAACTTAAATATTCTATGGGAAAATATATCCCATCTCCAACCACTGAATCCAGGAACACATCTTTCAGCCGTGGTACAAGCCAATGTATCGCATATAGCAGCATTCCCATGCATACTGTAGGAAACCATACAGATGCTTCAGTGTGCAGAACTCTGATTTATGAATCTTTTGAGTAACACAGTAATTACATACAATTGAGCCAAATGGTATACAAATTTAAGACGACAGAAAGTAAAATGTTAAAAACTTTACAATTTAATAACTTGAATATACTATACATCTGCTTTAAAATAGGACATAAAGCCATGTAATATTTTCACATAATTTTCCTGTTTTTTCAACATTAATTCAAGTAGTATGAAACTTATAGAGGAATAAACAAAGATCAAAGGAATACAAGGTACATGTAATTTAAGATACATTTCAAGTAAACAGGAAAACAAGTTACTTCTCTATTTCATACTATATATATATTATATATAATGTCTTGATAACAGAAATCTGTAATAAAAGCCAATAATTACAGCATCCCCTAGCACTTGTCAAGCACTATACACATATCATCTCATTTAATCGTCACAATTCTATGAGGTAAATACAATGATTGACTTCATCTCCTTATTAAAGACAAGGAAATTGAAGATTTGAGAGATTAAAAAATTTGAACACTGCTATTAAGTAGATCTGGGTGAATCTAACTCCATGTTCTTAATTACTGCTACTTTTTTTGGTGGGAGGGGTGCATCCTGATAATCCCAGTTACTTATATGCTCCGGTAGATAACAGGAACCAATTACAAGAAAAGCAGCAATATTTCCAGTAGTCACGCTAAACAGCCAGAGAATACCATTGAAGTTTTTTGTCCTTGCTACAAAAATTGTATTTTTATTGTGGTAAAATATACATACCTAAAATTTCGCATTGTAAGCATTTTTACGTGTACAGTTGAGTGGCATTAAACATATTCACATTAGTGTGTGCCACGTGAAAACAAAACAAACTACCCTCTGAAAAATACTAAGAGAAAGAATATTTTCATCATCTTGGGTTAGGGAAGACCTTTCAGAGTCAGATATCATTCATAATCCAAGTTAACAACATCAAAATCAAACCATAGCAATACTATAAGCCGTTAGGATTGGCAACAGAAGAAAAAAATATACAACACACATATGACAGACAAAGAATTAATATCCTTAACTGAATAATAACATTGCTTACAAAACATTTTAAAAAGCAAGTATCCCAAAAAAGAAAAGTGTAAGACTTAAGCAATCTACAAATAGGCAATAAAATATATAAAAAGATATTCAAACTGACTAATTCAGAAATGTACATTTGAAACAAGAAAATACAACTTTTCACTATAACAATTTTCACTTTTTACACCTGTTAATTATTTGGGTTTCTTTTTTAAGCATTTACCAATTAGCAAAAACAGTGAAAAATATTTCCATTTTAAAAAAAGACAACATCTAGTTTTAGCTCATCAGCTTAATTTAGTTTATACAGGATATTTGATAAGACCTATTTTGTACAAGATTTTATACAGAAGACCATACTAGTTAATAAAGGTTGATAATACTACAATAAAATAACTGAGCTCTATTAGTGTTTCAATTAGCGCTGACCTCTCTCTCTCCAACTGCTTCTCTTCTTTTAGTTGTTGTTCTTCAATTAAAGTGTCCTCTTCCTCCTCCTTCTGTGAAGCTTCTGAGGAAATTCAAATGTTTTATTAAACTCTCTGAGTATTACAAATCCCTGGTCAATAATTCAGGGGAAAATACAATCTTTATAATTATAGTAAAAAGAAACCTTTAAAAACTTTCTAATAATAAGAGTTCTAAAATGGTACAAAATGACCATTAAAAAGAATAATAGCAGGCAGGGGATTTAGCTCAGAGGTACCACGTCTGCCTTACAAGCACACATTTCTGAGTTTGATCCCGCATACCAAAAAAAAAGGATAATGGTAGTGGATAACACGTTAAATTTAAAAATCAATCGATGACTCCATCATGATATTTAAAAAGGTGGCGAGGCTTTAGGAAGGAACATCCATCTTTAGAAAAGAAGGGAAACTAAAAAATGTAGAAATACTAAGTAGAAAAATTACCACATTTGTATCTCCCACTGTAAAAATTAATGTACAGATGTTTAAAAAAAGTTGGAAGAAAGCTTGTTGGGAAAAGGATATTTACATCATCTCAAAATGTCATCCCACAGATGAGGACTAACTGGAAGGAGAAAAATGAGCCCTGCCAATGGAGTAATCTGTTCACAAGGAATGGTACAATCTGACATTATAGCTCTCACAATGTATGCAATAAGATGTTTACAACATCTGCTCTGTAGCAGTTTGTCATAACAAGTGTTTATAACACAAAGATCATGAGAGAATACACTAATCCAGAATGCAAGGCATTCCACGGGACAATAGGTTTGAGCTTTTCAAAACAATCAGTCTTGGTCTGAGGAAGTTTCATATGGCCTGTATATCACACACCACTGAATTCCCGATCATTTACATTGGTACAAACTTGGTACTGTGGTTCTGTGGGAGAACATCCTTATTCTGAGATGCAGGCTGATGGGTTTAGAGAAGAGGTGCTATGATATCTGCTAACGCTGTGTAAAAGGTTCAGAAAAAATTCTGTATGTGTGTTATTTCTCTAAATAAATACAAAGGCTAAATGTTGACAATTGACAATTCTAGCAGAAGAGCTCATAAATATTTATTGTATTATTATTTTCAACTTTCTAAACATTGGAACATTGTCAAAAGAAAAACATGGTAAAATAATTTTTAATAGAAGAAAAATGTATTTCTTATATTTACAATTTAAATTTGAGGGGGGAACAAGCAGTGAAAATGGAGAAGAAATGTAGGGGGAGGGAAATGTATCGATCCTAAGGAAACATAACAGATGATTTCAGGCTTAAAGGAAAAAGATTTTGTGCTTATCACATATTTCATGTATAGGTCTAACCAAAGGCTCACTAAGTCCCAGATCATTACCATAATTTAGTTTTCTTAAATAAATATACTTAATTATTTTAGCACTGGAAATTAAAAGCATACCAAAAATATTAGGCTAAATTCTAACTCAAGTAACACAATGTCTAAACATTCAGATAAATAAATGATCTAGTGCTCATAACAGGCTGGAGAACATGGCACAGAAAATAGGACTCTGACTAGAGATATGCCCACAGACTAGACATGGCTTGTATACAGCTGATACTGACCCATTCTCTCTCCATCCTCCCTAAAACAAGCTCACTCTCACCACAGAGGTGATCACTAACGGTTCTGAGTGTAGCATTTTCTCTATAGACACATTCAAAATATATGCAAGGATAGATATAAGTAAAATATATCATCTGGGCATGGTGGTGCACGGTGTCTGTAATCCCAGTACTCTGGGAGGCTGAGACAGCAGGATCACAAGTTCGAGCCCAGCCTGGACAACTTAGTGACTTCATGAGACCTTGTCTCAAAATAAAAAATGAAAAGGGGCTGGAGATGTAGGTCAGAGCAAAGGCCCAGGGTTCAATCCCCAGTACTGCCAAAAAACAGAAAACAAACAAACAAACAAATAATATATATCTAATTGTATTATGCATGTAACTATATATAAATTCTGGCTACCGTTTTACAACTTGCAATTTATACTTATTAACCTTAATTTCCAAAAAGGCAGTTCATTTTTGGGTTAACTCAAGTAGAACTAGGTGTTTAAAAGGCTACTGAGAGGTCACTATTTCAGAAATTTCTGCCAATCACTTGCCAGTACACTCTTATAGCAATGTTCTTGATGGTCCAGCCTTCCGGGTAACGTTTGCCCATCTGATGTGCGCTACAATGAAGAGCAGTGTTCCACAGTCCACAGTATTCAAGAAAAACCAGTTAAGTAAAGGATTATGAGTTGGAGTGGGTAAAACTAGACAGATGCTGAGTCTTAGATCCGCCACTAGCAATATAATCTTGAGCAGACCAGCACCTGGATCCTTCAATGGACTAAACTGCCAACAGATATGATCCACCTAACTCCATGAAAGCTCACTCTGAATGCACCTTCCAAAGTCAAACAAAAAATCAATACAATACAAATACCAGCTATTACAAGATTCAAACGAAGGAAAGGAAAAAAGGAAGAGGGTTTTTAAAAGGTATGTGTACTAGAATGAAAGATTAAATGAGGAAAGGAAGCAGAGAGCTTCAGAGATAGGTGGGCAATAAGGCCATCAACAACTGCACCCTACTCCTGTTTCTTCCTTCTATTCCTGAGGCTATGTTCTGCCTCAGTTCTCAACAACTAAGAGGAAGATGTTGATACAGGTGCAGGTAAACACAGAAATTATTTTTTCCATATTATCTATTCCAAGTGCTGCTACTAAAACATTTACTTGGGGACTCCAATGATAAATGAAGCCTCTAAAGGTCTGTTTCTCAAGGCTCAAGAATCCTGGTTACTTGAGGCCATGGTCTTGGAAGTTCATATACTGTCTAGGGTAATTTAATAATCAGAGTCTGGGTAATATGGCTGGCAACTATTGGAACCCAGTACTCCTGTGTGATTTTACTGCTTCCGTCCTCATTTATAAAGTCCTAATTCTATCATATTAAATAGGTAGGTTTAACATATAAATGTTAGGTTCTGCCATGTGAAGGCCAAATGACATCATGGCCAGCTGTATAAATGAAAGTTATAGTAGTTTAACAGAGAAAAAAGTGGTAAACCACCAGAGGACAACAGTACTAGAAGCATTCCAAACTCCTATCAGCGTCTTATTTATGTTGTGGAAAGCATCTGCTTCACATCATCCTTAGCATTACATTAGCGTAGACATGAATTTTACTGGAGATTTAATTTCATTTGATTTTATAATACATACATGTATTGTTTTATAGTTAAATAAGAGTTTTATAACTAGTTTCATGCTTATGAATACTAAAACAACACTGATTTCAGTCAACGAAAGGTCTTCTATTACTAAAATTTGAGGAAAACTTCCAAAATGACAAATTGAAACCCTCGATTTCTGCTGGTTTTTACAAGGAAAAATATCCAAGGAATACCTGCTATGTGCAGGGACTGTGCTATCGGTAGGTGCTGTGATTCCTGACCTGCACCTGTACTATTACTTTACAAACACTGCTTGTATACAGAATTCTGCGGGTGACGATTCATCTCGACTTTTAACTCCTCTTTAGCGTGTTAGCACTGTTTCTGACACAGGTCTAACACAGCTTTACACGAAAGGCAGCAGCCACAGCAGCTCAACGGGATACAGTACACGACTTCCTTCAGACACTGAGGCCTCAGGTTTGGGCGGGACTTAGGAGCGATTTCATACCCAGAAAACAGGACAAGGAGTCTACTACCTGAGTCTCTCAATCGTGCGAGTTCCTGCCGGCGTTTCTTCCGTTTCTCCTTCTTCAGTGCGGCCCTGTACTTTTTGTGGCTGACAGGTTGAAAAAAACACAAACAGCATTAGCGGCTGCACCTGCAGCGAGCCCGCTTCTCCGCACCCGCTGACAGGAAAACGCCCGGGCGTTCGGCTGAGAAACCTCACGATCCGCGCGTTTTGATTACAGAACATGCCACTGCCATCACTTCACCCGTCCACGCCCAGACAGCAGGTCTTCTCCCATCTGTCACCTGTCCCCTCCTTACCTCCCAGAGCCCATCGACGCCCCGGTCAGTGAGGAACACACCTCGAAAACGTTTAAGGTTGGAGCTGCGGCGGTGGCTCGCTCCGTAGGCTCATTTCTTCTCTGCCTGCTCAACCTCCATACCCAAGCCCGGCCTATTCCGCCCCACTTTCTTGACAATTCATCTCCACTAGCGGAGCCTACCTCGGTTTCTCATGAAACACCAACCGCTCCGGCGCCGCCATCTTGCCGGCGCCGCCCCGCCTCCCCCGACTAGACCGGAAGAGGCGGTACTAAGAGCTTCAAGGCGCAGGCGCAAGTGTAGCGGGGCGGGGGCTCAATTTGGACGAGACCAAAGACCAAAATCGAGGGGGGGAGGGAAGGCACTCAGTTACTACTAGTGGGCTAAAACCCTGGCTAAATAAATGTCTCCATCCTGAAAACTCTTCTGGAGTTCTTACACCACCCTGGAAGTAATCTTTTTATACTTAGCCCTTCTTCAGTGCTTTAGCACCATCTTTTCCCACCCCGCACCATACCGAGATGTCTAGTGGTATGGAGGTCAAAGCTGTACGTCTCCCCCTCTTTTCTCATTCATTCACGAAGCTTCATTCTTCCCACAACTACGCGCCATGCGTTCCTCATGATTTATTCAGGCCCCGCTTTCTTCCACGGCTCCACCTGTCAGCGCTTCAGCTAAAGCTTCAGACTCCACCCCCTTGTAGTCCTCCCTACTGGCTTCTATAAACTAATTTAATGGCTGCATATGCAAAGATAAAACACTGTTCCCAAGAAGTTTACAATTAAAGTATAGATAAGTCAGTATGTGCAGGCAAAGATGAATTTTACTTAACATTTTCACGTGGTAACTCAGAGAGTTTCTGATGCTTGAGTTGCATTTTGAGGAAAGATAACCTTGATCCATGTGGTGAAGGGTAGTAACAGAATTACGAGCAAATCTGCAAAAGCAGAGGCACAGAGAGGTGAAACTAGAATATATTGGGAACAGCGAGAATTTCATTAATTGAATTTAAAGTGCAAATCGAGAGCATCAACAAACCGAGCACTCTGAGAGGAAGAGGCACGAGGATCTCAACTTTGAGCCCCGCTTGGTTAGCATAGTGACTTAGCAAGATTCTATTTTAAAATAAAAAATAATAGAAGTTACAAAAGGGCTGAGGATGTAGCTCAGTGCAAAGGCCCTGGGTTCAATGAGGGGAGCAGCAGAAGAGGTGGACTGGGGCTAGATTATAGGTGAGGGCCTCGTGTGCCATGTTAAAAATGCTTTTTGGGGGGGGGTACCAGGAATCAAACTCGGGGACTCCTGCTTGCCAGGCAGACACTGCACCACTGAGCTACATTCCCGGCCCTAAGATGCTTTAATTATGTTCTCTAGTCAAAGCTTTTAAGTAGCAGCCTATTGTAGTGATACCTGTGTTTTAGGTAAATTACTGTGAATGACAACATAAAGGTTTAAAAGATAAAACTGGAGTACAATATCCTAGTAATCTAGGAGAGAAGTGATAAGGAATTAAACTGGGGCGATGACAAATTGGAAAAGTAAAAATCGGCCTGCTAATTAATAATCAGACTGTGATGTATACATTTAAGGCCAGGAACAATGCTAAGAAAAAAAAATGTTTCACCCAAGGACACATGAACCACTCCATCTTTTGAGTGATTAAATAACTTTCCTGGCTTAGCTTAGTTCCTCTTATCTCCAAATTAAAATTGCTGATGTACCCCATTAATAAAATGCCCCTTCTTTCAATCCCTCCTCCAGGATCTTTCAGTTTGCAGACCAAGCCTGTGAAGCCTCACCCTTCTTCCTCTTACTAAGACTTAGCAACACATATCCATCTGCCTACTAGAGCTCCAAATTGACCTTGCCAAACTCAGTGTATAAATAAAGACCTAGGGTTTGTAGTTGAATGGGCCAGGAAACTCAAGCTTTGGCTGTCTGTGGTCTTGAGTAAATTTCTTAATGTCTAATCTTCCATTCTGTCATCTGTGAAAGTCAAGACAGAAATAACAGCTCCCATCTAATAAAGCTTTCATAGCAAACTGGGTGTGGTGCATGTCTGTAATTCCAGCACTCTGGAAGGGATGTGGGAAGGTCACAGTTCGAGGCCAGCCTGGAGAATTTAGGAGTTATGCAAGATCCTGTCTCAAAATTTACAACACACACACACACACACACACACACACACACACACACACAAAGGGGGGGGCTAGAGATGTAGCCCTGTATGAAGGACCTTTGTTCAATATGCACTACCACAAAAAGAAAAAAAAAGGCTTTTATGATAAAGATTGAATGAGATAGGGCTGGGGCTTTAGCTCAGTGGCACCACGTCCACCTCACAAGTGCAAGGACCTGAGTTTGATCCCTGTACCAAAAAAAAATTGAGATAGCCCAAGCTGTATGTCTGTACGTGCCTGGTGACAACAGTGAATATCTGCAAAGTGTTTGCTGTCCTGTCATCATTGCTATCATTGGTGTAAAAAACTTCCTGATATACCCTCCCTCTCCAGAGTAAGAGTACATTCCCAGAGCAAGTCTTCTACCTTTATCACAGTGTAGTGAATGCGTTGCCTTCCCTGGTATGTTTCTCACACTAAATCTCAGAATTTTTGAAACTGGAGATTTGGCAGTTGTATTTCCAAACTAGAGAATGCCATAGGTGGCACAGAATGCTCTAGCTATATGTCACCAATTTTGCTGGTTCCTATGCTTAAGCCAGGATTTATGCTGAGAGTTGATGCCATTCTGGAAACACTAGGGTTGGGTTACTTGAACATGGCTTGTGAATCAAATTAGAATTTCACTCCCAACAATAAGTAAGGATATCTTCGAGAAAGATACACCTAATTTTTAAAAGATACAGATGTAGACTTTGTTTTATTATAATTTATAAACAAATATAAATCCCCTTTTATAGGAGGTAGACATTTATTGCAACAGTTAACTACTGAATTCATTTTCATGAGCAAGCTTGAATTGCTTAAGTTAATTTCATTACAGGAAGAACTCTAAAAGCCAATTCCACTTCCAAACTATAATTACCAACATTTGAATTCAGCAAGCAAAGTCATCTTCCTAAACTTTTGGTGTGTGGATGCTTGGTTTTGGAATAAGTCAACTTTACCTTAATCCACATTCAGGACAGTTCTCTGGGTGACCTTGAACCAATCTAGTTTCCCTGCGTTTCTTGCTTACAGTTCTCAAGAATAACTGTAGAATATATTGAGAATTGCAGTGTCCTGACATAGGGAGTGTTATGGCTTAGATCTACAAGAGCCCCCAAAAGTTTCATATGTTCTAAGGTGGGGCTTTTGAAAGGTAATTGGATCATGGGAGCTCTAATTTGCTCAATGGATTAATCCATTGAGGAAATCACAATTTGACAGCATTTTTGGGAGATAAGGGAAATTTAGGACCCAGTTGAAAGAAATGGGTCATAGGGGCATGACTTTGGAGTCTATATGCTGTCTGTGGATCCTTACCTCCCTCCCTCCCATGAACCACGAAGTAAGCAGGTTTCCTCCACCATGCCCTTCTACCATGAAGCAATGGAGCCAGCTGACTGAAACCTCCAAAATCACGAGCCAAAATAAACCTTTCCTCCTTTAAACTGTTACCCTCGGGTGTTTTGTCACAACTATGAAAAGTTAACACATCGAGGAATTTAGACAGCCTGGACCTTTTTCCTGCTCCACCTTGGGGAATGTACCATCTTGAATTAGAGTCCCCCTGGAAGTAGGATGGTCTTCCAGGCCCAATGAGTCCTGTAGCCCCGGAGGCATGTAACCCAGGGAAGGCTGTCTTTGGGGGTCCCACAGATTGTAGACTGACTAGGGCTACATGGTCAAGTCTTCATCCATCCTGGGGCAGCTTTTTTGAGCCTTGGGGGACCAGCTCACAAATGATCCTAGGCTGCTTTTGTCCCTTGCTGCCTTTGGAAAGTAATACATCTGCTTTGTGTAACTTACTGAGTATGATGCATTCTGTTTCACTGAAGCCAGACAATTGGAACCAGTACACAGTAAACCATGTAGTCCTGGGAAGGAAGACAAGGGCTGGCAGCTCACCCTGTATGACAATGTCAGCTGAGGTGAGCTATGGAGGGTTGGCTGGTTCTTCTCATTCTCACTAATTTTACAGACATCCTATGTGCCAAAGCAATAGGAATGAAAAGTCATTTGAGAGCCATTAATATTGTAAAGAAAGATTTTTAGCAATCTAGTATTATTTAATAAAGATGAGCAGCCATTTTAATACAAAAGGCTTTCTCAAGACCTGGAAGAAATATTAGGCCCATTGTCTGCCTGTGTGTTTAGGCAGGCATCACTTTTGCCTTTATGTTTAGAATGGTTATCACTTTTTTTTTTAGAATGGTTATCACTTTTGAAGGTGCAAGATGTGAAAAGTTCCTTGCAGTGGTATAGGGATGACCAAGATATTTACAGTGCCTCTTGGAAGGTCATATGACAAAAGCATGATAGAAGGGACCACAAGCTCAAGGCAGTTTCCATGATATACACTAGAATAGAAGGTATAAGTAAATCAGGAGCAGCAAACCAGGAAGTGGTCCTCTTATGAATGCACTCTTCATCCCTCTAAGACAGAAGAGCAAGTTAATCATTCAGAACATTGGTTTTGCTCCTATCTGGAAGAGTTCCTGCAACAGAGTTTTGCACTAGGAGTTTGCCAGAGGCCAGATGGAAAACCTGTGTGCCCTGGAAAATGCACATTTTGTGTGTTTACTCTTTAACAGGTAACTATAGTTTGACATAGATCAATTGTATACATTAACTTTTTTTTTTTACTATGTTTACTTTCTTCTTCAGTGCTGGTGATCAAGTCCAGGGCCTTACGCATGCTAGCCAAGTGCTCAATTACTTTACTAGTTATCTGTCAATGAACATTTACGTTGTTTCCAACTCCTGGCTATTGTGAATAATGCTGCTGTGAACATGGATGTGCAGATATCTCTTGAGATCCTGGTTTGAAATCTTTTGGATATATACCCAGAAGGGAGATTGCTGGACCACGTGGTAATTCTGGTTTTAGTTCTCTGAAAAACCTCCAAACTGATTTCTATACTGGCTGTACATTCCCAACCTCAGTGCACAGGGGCCCCAACTTTTCCACATCCTTGCACACTTATTGTTTGCCCTGATGGCAGCCGTCATGATGGGTGTGAAGGGATGTTTTGCTGAGGCTTTGATTTGCATTTTCCCCAGTAATTAGTGCATCTTTCATGTGCTTCTCGGCTCCTTGTATGTAGTCTTTGGAGAAATATCTATTCAAGTCCTCTGCTCATTTTTAAATTGGGTTATTTGGTTTGTTGTTATTCTTGCTGTTGAGTCAAAGAAGCTCCTTATATATTCCGGATAATAACTCCTTTTTAGGTAGATTATTTGCAATCATTTTCTCCCACTAAGTTGTCTTTTCATTTTGTTGACTGCTTTCTTTGACAAGAGAAAGTTTCAAATTTGAGGTATTCCCATTTTAATCTTAATCGTCCTGAAGTGTATACAGTTCAGTAGTGTTAGCTATTTCATCCAACTCTATCTTGTAGACTAGATGACCAGCATATTAATAAGATTCTTCTAGTTTTTGATGAAGTGTTGCATCTGAACACAATCTTAGAGATAGTTGCAAACATTCTAAGATATATATAAGCACACTTAATAGTGGCATCGATTCCCCAGAACATGTGAATTATCTAGGTTTTAGGTTTCAGCATATCTGACAAGTTTCTCTTCCTGTAACTGTAACAAAAGTCTTCTAAACCACTGTATAACTTAGGAGATTTAAGTTGACCGCTAGCCTTATGTAATGGTTAATCTTGGTTGTCAACTTGATTGGATTGAGAGATGCCTAGAAAACTAGTAAAGCACACTTCTGGGTGAATCTGTGATAGCATTTCCAGAGACAGTTGGCATGCGGGACATGAATGTGAGTGCCACCATCCATGGGCTGTAGGCCTGGATAAAATAGAACCAGAAGAAGGAGAAAGCCCTCCAGCACAGGCACTTTCCCTCTTTTTCTGTACCTTGGCTGCCATAAGGTGAGCAACTTTTCACCACCACCCCATCCACCGTGGTGTTTCTGCCTCACCACAGGCCTGAAGCAATGGTACTGACTGACGATGCACTGAAACCTCAGAAACCATGAGCCAAACATGAGCCTTTAAATTGTTGCTGTCAGGTGCTTTGTTACCACAATGAAAAGCTAACTGACACACCTTACAAAAAACCTTGACTAATGAGAAGATGAAATAAAATTCAGACTGTTTCATTTCTGGCAATCTTGGGGATTGAACTCAGGATGTCACACATGCTAGGCAGGTGTTCTACCACTGAGCTATATCCCTTGCCCAAGTTTATTTACTCTTACAGGGAAGCCATGGTTGCTCGCCATTGTGGAAATATTATCAATATATTCTATATAACAGTGTGCAAATAATGCAAAATAATAGTATAAATGTAGATTATCAGATTACTCTTCAACTAAAGAATATTTCTGGCCAGGGATTTAGTGCAGTGGTTCATACTGCCTGCCTCACAAGTGCAAGTTCCCGAGTTCGATCCCCGGTACCAAAACAAACAAGCAAACAAAAAACACTGATCTAACCAACAGGAAGCATTATCCAGGAGGAGCAGTAAGATGCAGTAAGGCCACACTCACCTGAGGAGTGTGAGCATGGCTGTCTGTGGGGGCTGGTTAGCGTCCATAAATACTCTTGGCATACCCGAATGAGCACTTGTGGTCGGCTTGGGTCACAGAAGACCCTGTTGCAGTCTAACATTAGTTAATGCACTGACCGGGCACATTGGTGGCACCTCTTTGCCACAGGATTAGCCTAGTGTGTACCCCTTGCCCAGTGGAAGGCTGAATGTCAGAATGTGGCTGG